AGTGATAGGACAAAAGGAAATGGCCTCAAGTCATGCCAGGGGAGGCTTAGATTGGACATTAGGAAAAATTTCTTTACTGAAAGAGTGGTCAAGCATTGGAACAGGCTGCCCAGGGAAGTGGTGGAGTCACCGTCCCTGGAGGTGTTCAAAAAACGTGTAGATGTGGCATTCATAGACATGGTTTAGTGGGCATGGGGGTGTTAGGTCAATGGTTGGACTTGGTGATCTTTGAGGTCTATTCCAACCTAATGATTCTATAGTACAAACCTTAAAATTTGTGCTTTACTTGTACTTCTTGATAACACAGCAATTGTTTCAAACTCCAGCTACACATGAAGTATAATAAATCCGTGCTTAAGGCAGTTACTCCAATTCCATTAGAATATCTCCAGTTTAACTATTCTAAACAAACTACCCAACACAGTTATTTGGGAAAGGATAATTTTATTTGTCCTATCATCATTAGTTTAAACAGTCATAAACTCATCATACAAAAATCTTTGTAAACATAATAACCACTTAGGTTCTTTCCATATAATTTCACCAAAAATCATAGCCCAAAGTAGAAGCTGAACAAACTTAACATCCTCTGTTCATGCCATAGTCTTTAGATATAATTTAAACCAAGCAGTTAATTCGCATGGCTATTTGAAGGTCAACGTCCATTTACAAAAGAAAACAGGAGTGGGCTGTGTTCTGGAAGTGGAATGCATGTAGTTTGAATGCTAAAACCTACAAACCATCCTGAAGCCTGATGGGGCAAGGGTTGGGGTAGTCACCTTCATTTTTTCTCTGGAGGTTCATGTTTTACCCAGTCCTCAAAGCCACCAGCATATTGCTGAACTCTGAAAATATGCAGAAGATACAACGTTAAGAAGGACTCTTCTTGAAAAAGGCATCTAAGAGGACATGACAAAAAAACCCCACAACCCTCCAAACCACAACAAAATAAAAAAAATCAGAGAAAAACCCCACAAAAATTCTCTGCAATCAAATACACTTGTACCTGGCTTCAATGAGCCAGATTGACATTCCTTGTACTCTAATACTGCCTGCTTCCATTCAGGGTGTTCTGTAACTCTTTTCTTCCAAATGACTCAATGCTGGAGATCAGACAAGCAAGCAAGTAGCAGCTGGATCAATGAAACAGTTTGCCACTTCTTTTTTAAAAAGCAGGGAACAGACTCACTGTGGTGGGAGATTTACATGTTATTATGTCTAATACTTCAGATGTCATCAAATAAATGCAGCACGCTGATCTTTACTTCTTTGTAAACCTACATGCTCTATAGATCTGACATAAGCCTGCACAAAACTAAACTCTGGAAAAAACCAAACAAGACTCACTAGGCAAATCTATACTGACTGCATCAATTAGGCAGCATGAAAAACAGGTAATGGAGGGTTTTTTCCACTTATTAAAAGATATAAAACAAGAATGTGGTTCCATACTTTTGACTAGAGTTAGCAGGGATATTCCAGTTCGTGAATTACAGCTCAGCAAAAACATGAGCAAACAGTTTTTAAAATTCTATCTGCAGTCTTCAAGCCAGCAAGGCACCTTCTGGCACAGGTGTAACAATTCTGCCAAGCAAATGCTGCTTTTGCGTTCATTCTGTCAATCTCATTGTCTTTCTAGCTCCTGCCTTCACTGCTTTACTCCCGGAAAACAATCCAATGCTTTACTGAAAGTGATGGCGTACTTTGTCAACAGTGAACTGTACAGGTAGAACTGCAATTTAACAAAGGGTGTGGTTTCATAAACTATTTAATATAAGATTGTACTTCTACTAAAGCGAGCAGTTCTACCCCTTTCCATTCATCCTGTGTCTCACGACTAGTGCTTATGAAGCTGTATAAGGAAGTAACGTCTCAGTGAGGGAGGCCTAAAAGCCAGAAAGGCCCTTCAGTGGCAGCATGGTCTTGCAGCAGATTGCGTCACCTGCGGCGCAGGGAGATACACTTCACTTTGCTGGAATACCCAACGGTGTCTTTCGAGGTTCAGTGGAGACAAGAAGAGGTGTCTAACTCAAGTACCAGTCATTTTGTTCATATTTCACATTTACATTTTTACCCTTGCCCACAAGAAGCTGAGTACAATTTCTGCTTCATGGGAGGGACGCCACACGAATCCCATCCTTACACACACAAGTCATACCTGCTGAAACCCAAGGACATGGCAAAACCAAGTGCTTGTTTACTTCTCGTTCCTGCCAAACAAGAGAAAACCACAGGGTCCGACTTGGATGGCATCTTCTGATTGTACTGCTCCTTGAACTCCATTGGGTCCATTTGTAGAGCTTCCACTAATTCACCCACTGGGAAATACAGAACCAAAAAAAAAGCCTCATTTATTCTCCATCCACAGACAGGCTGACACAGTAAGGCTTCCAGTTCCTCTGGAGGAAAAGTTTAGCCTCACAACACACTAGCAGCTGTCTAGCACAGCTCCTCTTTGCTCAGTCACCGCCACTTGTCCACAGACTTGACCAACGAGCAAATGGGAACACCCAAGGCCTCCACCTTGCTGTGTTCGTAACTTACACGGTATGTTGATGGACGCCGGGATCTTTCCAAATCTATCGATCTCCCACCTCTCCCGCACGTCTATGTGGAGGACGTTGGTCTTCTTCAAGTCTTTGAGCTCTCGGTAGGAAAGGCTCGGCTCCCCGCCGGCGCAGAGG